GGTTCTGCACGATCCTCTTCAATAATATCCTCTGCGTCTCAATCGGGCTCAAACTGGGGCCCGTTCTTCGTACGTCGCTAACTCAGTTAGATGGATTTGATTGTTGAGGCATGATCTTGGATTGTTTGGTTCTTCGAAGCTCATCCTGGAGTTGCTGTCATAGCAACAGGTCCATAAACTTAAACCTGCTCGGGAGCAGGTTTATTTCATGTAAACAGGATTAGATGCAACTTTGTAAGCAGAACTGATACTTAAAATCTGTCCCAGCCACTGCTACTTTATTAGAAGAGTACCTTGATCCAGGGACAGTAATTTACAATAATAATAATTAAAAAATTAATACAAAAAATATTATAATGTTGTGTCATCATCTATAACACTACAGACACATCCAGGTTTACTCGTTGAAAATGTATTCGTTATGAAATAATTACTTTATAATTGTATTGGAGTCTTACACACATACTATACAGTTAATCTGAGTCATGCATTAATTTGAGTGGTGACAGCTTTTATGGGAGTGGCTTGATGGAGCGCAGGAGATGCAGATAACATGATCTTGACCCCTAAGAAACTTTAATTAACGCTGTCACGTAACAAATCTGCTTAAAAGATCAAATTAAATGAATTGCTAATTACAACACTGAAATAAAAATGTAAAGCAAATACTAGAAATCATTAATATAAATAATAGGGAATCATGTAAAAAAAAAAAAAAAGTAAAAACAGTGCACATTTCATTTATCTATTATTATTACATTTATGTAGTTTTGTTCGCTTTGTTGTTTCCAGAAATTTGTCAATTTTTTTCGTCAGGTGTCTTTTTTATTTATATGATGTAATTTCGTTGCTGTCTTGCCACCAGCCAATCGCTGCGTTGCTGATCGTGGTCTCGAGTATCGATACATCTGCCCTTTTTGGGGAACACGACGAGAACGCGCACTAATCGACAATTTAATTTTAATAAAATCCGCAAAATCGTTTGAAGAACCAAATTAGCCAGAGATTAGTTATCACGATTACTAGATCTGGAATCTTTCAAATCAACTCAGATGCAGTGTTGCCAATTTAGCTACTTTGTAGCTAGATTTAGCGACTTCCCCGCCCCTTTTGAGACTTTTTTTCAAAAGTTTAGGGACAAATATAGCAACTTCTTGGACAAACCTTATCTAAGTTCTCATCTTGCCCACTGATCTACGTTCATCTTTATATATAGATTTTAGTGAATTTGCCATTGTGATGTCATCTAGTGACATTTAGCTACCGCCTATAGCACGCGAGAACTCTGCAGGTGGCGGAACACTGCGAGTTGCATTTCACAGCAGCTGGAATAATTAAATTATTTTGATGGCGGATTGTAATCCAGAAAGGTCCATACAACAATAATCAGTGACAAATGGAGATTCACCCGTAGTCACCAGCAGTCTACAGGTAATACACACCCCAGCTAACACTAGCTACTTTCAACTGAAAGCAGTTGGCAACACTGCGAGTTGCATTAAGCGAGGTACGAAGAACGGACCCCCGGTTAGTAGTAGGCTGTAGGCCTATAGCACGCGAGGATGCTGCAGGTGGCGGATTATTTATGGCCTTTTCTCACAGCAGCTGGAATAATTAAATTATTTTGATGGCGGATTGTAATCCAGAAAGGTCCATACAACAATAATCAGTGACAAATGGAGATTCACCCGTAGTCACCAGCAGTCTACAGGTAATACACACCCCAGCTAACACACATGTAGTCACGCAATGCTGATGTTGTTAACATTAACAATTTGAGAACAAAGTATATATATAATTTGCACGGTTTGATGTGATATGAGCTAAGCGATTGTTAGATTTAATCACAATTGGTAGCGCAATGTATTGTAATGCTTTTTTTTCTCAGTTGGTCAGAACAAAAGTGGCAGACATGTTACTTACTTGTTCAGATGACATTTTCCAGTAAAATTTTTTATTTGGGTCATACTTCCAAGACGTTGAATCTGTGATTCCGAAGTACAGTGAATATCCAGACAGGTGCGGTGACTGATAGCAAATAGTCTTTGATGACAGCCACACATACTCCTCAAAACATTAGCCCACGTAAAGATGATAATTTCGCAAATAACTGCAAAACTTATGGACTGCAGCTTTATCTTCGGTTAACCAAAGGGACCCCATTAACGGTTTCAAGATAGTAAAATACTAACTTAAAAGTACTATTGTTTGTATGTACTATATGTCTGAACAGCATGCGTAGCATTCTCTAAAGTTACGCCATCGCAACGCAGTAATTTCCACAAATTTGTCTTATAGCACGTGAGTATAGTGACCGAGAGAGCTCAACGCACTGCAACTTCAGAAAACACATGCAAATAGAAAAAGCACCAGCAAATTAAGAAAACATCTTCATCAGTTTGACAGCACATGTGCTGCAAATACTAGCATCAAAACCAAATACAAAACATGCTGCAAATCCTCACAACACAAACAAATAAAGAAAGGCGCTGCAAATACTCACAACCCAACCAAATGCAGCCATATTAATTTGAACAATTATTATCAAACAATTATTTAAACCTCGTGTATATCAAACTGCGTGTTTTCTGCGTAAAATTAGGGGTCGTTTTTGGCTTTGGACTAAAACAAAAAGCAGAAGGACTTATTGAAAAATGCAAATTTTTCTCTCTTCATTCTATCGCTTTTCACCAGGAATATAGCCATTTCCCCGGTAACCGCAGTAAACAAAGCAGCGCAGCACCTGATGATGAATATGAGCAGCGCTCATATTTAACCAATTAAACATAGCCTTTTGAAGTGTAAGCTATATCTCAATTTGCATGTATATTTGTTTTTTTCACTGGAGCACCACCTGAGTCTTTCTCCTCCCGTCCCATTTCTACCAGTGATCCTTTCACTCTTTTCCCCAGTCTTCCTTCCCATGGTACTCATCACAAATGGGTTGAAATTTGTATGTGTCGATTGTGTGAGAAAAAGAGGAGCATAGAAACATATTACAAATAACAAACAAAGAGTGCTTTCAGTATTTAAGATTATCTGAACGATTTCCATTCAAGAACTGTGAGTATTTTTCTACATCTTTACTGTTGTTTTTTACTATGACATTTTAAACAGCGGGAGATCTATTAAGCTGCATTCACGCACGGATCTCTTTTGAAATATAAGAAGTAATGTGGTTTGTCCTGTCCGTTTAATCCATTAAGACATAACTGGCTGTGTTTACATTAATTTTGCGTCATAAAACCATTTTGAGACGCAAGTACATTAAACCACTTACACGGAGTTGCGCACAGCCGCATGCGCGAGCAGTCTTCACAAACAAAGCTCGCGTCAGCATTTGAAATTGAAAGCAGCCTTCTGTTAGTGAGGTTCATATTTTAAATATATAAGTCCACTGCATTCCAAACCACATAAATGATGACTTCGTAGAGCATTTGTAAGGAAAATACCGACGAGTGTCTTTCACAGCGCATTCTGTGCAATGAAGCCCGCGAATGTCCTTGTAATTCACTTCAACCTTTCCGAATTTTATGAAAGATTATTTTACGGAAGGTTCGAGTGGTGTATGTGTGTGAGGAACTGGAAGCAAGCAGAATACGGGTGTTTCTAAAGCAAACTCAGCGTCATCGCGCATCTGGTTAAAAACTAAGCTCAGAATCGATTCTGAAATTCTCAGAATCGATCCAGAATCGTTGGAGAAAGAATCGCGATGGATCGATTTTTTTCTCCCATGCCTAGAGGCGAATGTAGCAAACATAAAATACGCCCAGTGGGATTTTTTTTTATAGAAAGATCAGAAATACGGGAGAAATACGGGAAAATATTTAAACAGGATTATAGAGGGATAGAACGGTAAAATACGAAAGAATCCCAGGAAAAACGGGAGGTTTGATAGGTATGAATACAGCACAAACCGCAAACAATTTAATTTGACATACACCTTCCAGGTGCCCCCTAGACACATCATCGGTGATGTTACCTGGGGTCATCGGGTGTTTTGGGTCTTTCAACATCATACACCCTCGCCCAGGCGACCCAGCCAAGGGTGGTCAGTCCCCGACTTGTGTCTAGGTATCTTGTGTAGTCCACAGATCGCCCCTTTTGATCCACAGCCATCTTGATGCCTTCTCCGCGGCATCCATGATGTTCCTGATGGCTTTATTCTTGTGCAGTCCCCTGATTCCCAAGAGCTTGAGGGCCCTGCACAATGACCTTGATGATTCCGAAAATAGGACCATGTCAGGCCTAAGTGTGGTCGTGACGATGGTTTCTGGAAATCTGAGCTGCCTTCCCAGGTCAACCTTTAGCTGCCAGTCTCGAGCTGTTGCTAGAAGTCCCCCCCGCTGAGTTCCTGCTCCCTTGTGGCTTCTCTCCCGCCTTAACAAATGTGATTGCGTGCTGAACTGGCTGCTGGTGCTTGCTGAGAGAGATTCCGGTGCTGATGGTTCCAGCAATTACCCTTAGCACCTGGTCGTGGCGTCCCTCTCCCAGCGCCTTAGGGCAGCAGCTTAACCAAAAATGAAAATTAGGCTGCGTTTTACTCACCCCCGAGGTATCCTAGGTGTACATGACTTTCTTCTTTCAGACGAATCCAGTCGGAGTTATATTAAAAATTGTCTTTGATCTTTCAAGCTCTATCATTGCAGTCAGTGTGTGTTGCATTGCTTCAGTCCAAAAGAAGTTAAATAAAAACTGTGGAGGACATCGTAGACTGATTGGATAAGGAACTGGATCCGGTATGGCTCCGCTTTCCACAGCTCAGTCCACGAGATCTTTCGGTCCATTGCTTGTTCCCATCGAGACCACGCCCCTTGTTGTCACATCCCCACCATCCTACTGATGCGCCTTTCCTCCACCCCTGCTCGGATTTCTTCTTGGACCAGTTGACGCCTGTCCTTTCCCCGGGCCTTATCATACCGAGGTTTCTGGTAACAGCCAAGCCCTGCGCATCCTGAAGCCACTGTCCCCACCAGCACACTGTGCTGCAGCCGTGCTTCAGCCTGGTCGTCTGCCTCCTGGGCCCTCCACTTCCTACCAGTCCTCACCTTGATGCCAGCTGAGGACACTTTGGTGTCATTTGATTCTCTGTATAGCAGTACCTCTCTTGCTCGGGAAACCATAAACTCCTCCGACAGGCCACTGAAGGGGAGTTGTAGCTTGTTCTTCCTTCCGTATAGGGCTATGCTGGTGATACTACGCGGGAGACCCAACCACCTACGTAAAGAGTGGCTGATCTTCCTCTCGAAGCCCTCGACAGTGGTTAGGGGGCTCTCATAGACCAGCAGTGGCCAGAGGAATCGCGGCAGAATGCCATGCTGGTAAATCCAGGCTTTGAACTTTCCTGGCAGGGAGACCCAACCACCTACGTAAAGAGTGGCTGATCTTCCTCTCGAAGCCCTCGACAGTGGTTAGGGGGATGTCATAGACCAGCAGTGGCCAGAGGAGTCGCGGCAGAATGCCATGCTGGTAAATCCAGGCTTTGAACTTTCCTGGCAGCCCTGACTTGTCCACTGCAGCAATCCAGGTGTGCAACTCCTTCCCAGTTTCATGGAGTGTGGCTGTGTCCCTAAGTGTGCTGTTGAAGACTTTTCCCTGACTTAACTAGCATATTCATAGCTAAAGTGAACAAGATCACTGAGATAGTACACCCTGTGATTATTTCTTTCTCCAGCCTATGAAATGCTGATGTTATTGTTCCAGAGGTGACTCTCAAACTAAAGCAGCTGTAATAGTTCAAAATGAAGTCCCTGATTCTATCTGGAACATGATGTCGGATCAGTGAGGTTTCCACCAGCTTGTGCGGGATTGACCCATAAGCGTTGGCAAGGTCAAGCCACAGCACTGCCAGGTCCCCGTCACCTTCTCGAGCCTCCCGGATTAGCTGGGTGATAACTCCTGTGTGCTCCATATAGCCTGGCACTTTTGGGATCCCACCTTTCTGAACAGCGGTGTCAATGTATTCATTCTGCAGGAGAAACTCTGTCATATGTCGGGCAACGATACTGAAAAATATCTTCCCCTCCACGCTGAGGAGTGAGATGACCCTGAACTGCTCGATGTTACTTGAGTTCTCCTCCTTCGGAATCCAGACACCCTCTGCATGTCTCCACTGCTGCGCCACTTTTCCCCTCCTCCAGATGACTTTGATGATTTTCCATAGGCGCTGAAGGAGTTTGGGACACCTCTTGTAGACCGCGTAGGGCACTCCACTTGGACCTGGTGCTGAGTTCGTCCTAGCTGCTTTCACAACCTCCTGAACCTCTCTCAAGGTTGGGTCCTTGAGGTTAAAATCCACACTGCGTTCCGGTGGGGTTATCAACGTGCTACACGGTCCAAGTTCCTGATCTCTTGTTCTATCGCTGTAATTGGTGCTAAGGTACTTGTCAACCTCGTCTTGAGTGCAGGTGAGTCGACCGCTACGCTTCTGCCCGAGGAGTCTCCTGGTGAATCCGAAGGGATTTGCGACAAACTCTGCCCGTCTGCGAGCCCTCTCCTTGTCCCTCGTTCTGTGCCACTCAGCTCGACGGGTGGTAGTGAGCTTACTCCTTACGATGTTCCGGAGCTCAGCCAGGGCAGCTTTATCCTCCTCATTTGCCTGCTTAAACTGCCTTCTAAGCACACTGAGCTCCTGCCGCAACTGTCGGATCTTCTCCTGCTGACGATTTGGTCCCGCAGTACCACTAGATGGGCGCTGCTTCTTCAGGCCAAATCTCACAGCTATGTTGATTGTTATTGAGCACATTGTTTGCCACCTCCGGTCAGCATCCCCTCTGACTGTTACTTGAAGAATCTTGTCCACATCCTCATCAAACTGGTGACACTCATTTTCCTTATTAGTGGCGGGCCACTTAACCTGACGATGTTCGAAAGCCTTGCTTGGAAACGATCTAGTGGTGCGTGGAGGGTCTGGGCATTGTGGGGTGACTCCGGGCCAGGCTCCTCCTGCGTCTCAACAGGTACTTGACCTGTGCGTTGCATCACTTGTGTACCAGACAAGCACTTCATTCTGGCCTGGTGGATCTTAAGGCCATGCAGGTTTTTGCAGACTTTACCGCATTTGCAAACTGCACTCGTAGTCTTATGTCCATGAGCTTGGGTCAGTAACTGTGCATCCGTCCTGTTGAGGTGCTCATTCCCCCCCCCCTCTCGGGCACCTCTGGGGGTATAGTCCCTTAGGGTTTTCCGTAGCTTATTAATGGGTGCCCCCTCACGAGTGCTGCAGCTTGAGAAGCTAACCCTCCCTGCCCCGGTTGCTGTCTCTCCAGCTGTCACCACCCTCTTTGTGGTAGTCATCTGGTCTGTTCCCAGAAGTCACTGGTTGCTGCCAGACTAACCTAATTTGACATACACCTTCCAGGTGCCCCCTAGACACATCATCAGTGATGTTACCTGGGATCATCGGGTGTTTTGGGTCTTTCAACATCATACACCCTCGCCCAGGCGACCCAGCCAGGGGTGATCAGTCCCCGACTTGTGTCTAGGTAGCTTGTGTAGTCCACGGATCGCCCCTTTTTTGTCCACAGCCATTTTGATGCCTTCTCCGCGGCATCCATGATGTTCCTGATGGCTTTATTCTTGTGCAGTCCCCTGATTCCCAAGAGCTTGAGGGCCCTGCACAATGACTGGCCGTCAAACACTCGGCAGCCAACCTCAATGGGGAGGCAGTGGGTCTTCCATCCCCTGTTACGGCATTCACCTGCCAACTCCTCGTACTTTGCCCTCTTCCGTTCAAATGCCTCTTCCATCCGGTCTTCCCAGGGCACAGTCAATTCCAGTAGAACCACCTGCCTTGATGATTCCGAAAATAAGACCATGTCAGGCCTAAGTGTGGTTGTGGCGAAGGAGGTCAACCTTTAGCTGCCAGTCTCGAGCTGTTGCTAGAAGTCCCCCCGCTGAGTTCCTGCTCCCTTGTTGTTTCTCTCCCGCCTTAACAAATGTGATTGCCTGCTGTACTGGCTGCTGGTGCTTGCTGAGAGAGATTCAGGTGCTGATGGTTCCAGCAATTACCCTTAGCAAATTACCTCGACAAAATTAAAATTAACCATGTTTTTTTTTTTTTGGCGTATTTATTAACATTTGTATAAAAACAAATGTACAAATACCATGGTTAAACTATGATTAGCGTTGTAAATCCATGGTTAATTTGTGCATGCTTACCATGATTTACCTATTGTAACCATTTTTTATTTTTATTTATTTTTATATAGCCTAATAAATGTGTTTATTAATTAATTGTTTTTAATACCATAGGCTATGGTTAATTTTGGTAAGGTAAATTGTAAAAGTAAGTTAACCAGCTTACATAACCTTTCACAGTTACAGTAATTGTGTATTTCATCAGATTATTTATGCTAATATATATATATATATTTTATTTTATTTATTTTTTTTATTTATAAAGGCTAAGGAATCGTATGATCAGGATGTTAAAATAAACAAAAATCTCACCTTTCTGTGCAAACATTAATAAAAAT